GTAAACTGGCATGTACAATTAACCTACTTAATACCCACATACTTTCAACATGTATATCAAATCTCACCTCTTCTAAAATTTTCAGACTCATGGCTTTTAGTTTTAGTGATCACTTTTTCTTTTAGAGCACTGTTGTGTCATAGTAAATCATATAAAAGTCAACATCCTAAGACAAAGAGCTGAATCCTGTCTCTTCTACTTAATAACTATGTGATCATGCAAAGACCTCTTAAATTCTTGGGAAGTTTTATTTGTAAATGGAATTATTTCTCTAATTTATTTTTATTCCTATAGTAGGATAATACATCTACATCCTTTCCCTTGTAACTTTGTAGTATCTGTCACTGTGGATGAAATATAATTTCATTTCTGATGGATGTTGGCCTCAGCTATGTGACTTGGTTTAGTTAATAAGAGGTTAAGAAACATGACATAATCAAAGCTTTAAATGGGCATCCATGATTTAGTTTGTCTATTTGTGCTTCTGTAAGTCACTCTGAGGTTGACATACCTGAGGAAGTCATTGCTTCTTTATCCTGTGCCTTGGAATAAAGACGTATGAAGTGAAACCACTCCAACTAGAAGCTTGGAGTCAAGTACGACCCATCCAAATCAAACAGACAAGATTAGGAAACCAATGTGAACCTACAGATCGAAGACCAGAAGAAAAAAGGGAAGTAGTAGTTATAAGCCACTAATATTTGAGGTTCTTATATAACCCTTTTCCAAGTTAAGCTAACTGATATGACTATCTCACATATTTTTGTGAGACAAATGATAGATGTAAGTGAAGATGATTTCAGAAATTACAAAATGCAATACAAATGATATTTGATTATTGCTACTCAGTATTATGAATTTGTATCCATTTCTTGTTTCCTTATCCAAATTTTAAATATGAGAGAGATAAACTATTATATGAGAAATAGAATCATTAGATAATTAGATAAGAGATAATTATATTTCTTATATTTGCCAAAATGCCCTACATGATGCCTTATACAAAGTAAGTACTGAAGAAGTATTAACGTTGCTGCTGTTAGCATGCCTCCCAAGTATATTTTGTTTATGTCTTTGTTTTTGTTCTTTTAGTTCTTCAGTTTTTGACATTTTCATGGTAGTATAAGATATTAAGAGGGTGTATTATCAAATCAAACTACTGATTTCAGAAACTGCCTCAAACTCTTATTATCTATCGGGTCTTGGGCAAACTGCTTAAACCCTCAAAGCATTAACTTATTTATTTATAAGAATAATATTATTACTAATAATACATTCAACTAAAATTAATTATAATAATCATTTGGCAGTGATTGTCACATCATAAAATACCCAGTAAATAGCACCTTTTATGATATTTTTAATATTTTAAATGTTCCTTTCTCCTCTCCAGAAATTTCTAAACAAACTTCTCAGACCATCTTATCCTTCTCTTGCCAAATATAATTCTTCTAGATAGACAGAAACACACGCACAGACATGCACGCATGCACACACACCTCTTGCAGGGTTTTCCATAAATAGGTGGGGAATAGGAAAAAGTGATGTTAAGAACTCTGTGTTTTCTCTCTGCTTTCTGGTCATCTACTTGATGTTTCCAATGCCCCCCAAACAATTTCTATTCCTATTCACCTAACTAATGCTGAACCATCTTCAAATTTCTACTTAAAGGACACTGATCCTGGAGAAGCTTTCCCAGACTCCTCAAGGCTAAGCTGAACATCCCTCTTATAAAGAGCTTTCAGAAATTCATGATTGAGGCCACTTAAAACTGCTTTTTTACTTGTCCATTTTTAAAACTGTACTATAAGTTATTTGAAGGCATAGACTGTGTTCATCACTTTCACTAGAACCGGTCACAGTCCTGGCACATATTAATCACTTAAAGGTATAAGATAAAAGAATAAAAAAGGAAGAAGGAAAGGAAGAGAACAAGGGGAGAGAGAGAATGAGAGAGCTTAGACTGTGTTCATCCTTTTCACCAGGACCTAGCACAGTCTTGGCACATATTAAGCACTTAAAGATATAAGATAAAAGAATAAAAAAGAAGAAAGAAGAAAGAGAATGGGGGGGGGAGAGAGAGAAGGGAGGAAAGAAATGAAAAGGTTACTTTTGTTTTTTTGCTTTTCAGAAGAGAATGTTAAAAGAGCAAGACAATTACTATAACATCATCAAAACTCATTTTCCATCTAAATCTACATTTTGTTTGAAATCACATGTCAGTGTGTTCTCTTCCACTCATCAGAGTAACAGGCTATTTAAAAACACCAACTCATCATAAAACCTATTTGAGACAAAATGGAATGAATAGAGTAAGGTGGATTTCTATTCTTTTCTTCCTTATTCTCCTTCTTGCTCATTTTAGAAAAAGGCTCTTCTTATTCACTAAAAACCCTTCAGCAAGAAACAAATATAGAATATTTATCTCATCTACTTTTTAAAATTAAGAACAAGAAATTTAAGTAATCATTTATTTAAAATATTTATTTGTGCTTTATATTTCTGGATAGGAATTAGAGATAACAAGTCTAGATCTGGTTAACAATGGGTGAAAAGAGGGAGATAAAAATGGAGAAATTGATTAAAAAGTAGACAATACAAAGGAAAGAAAGAATACAAGAAACTTTAGAGTAATGTCTATTCATAGCACTTCTGTTTTAATCTTAAATTCTAAATATCCCCTTCTGGGCATGAGGAGAAGAAAGGTCTACATGATTCTAAAGTATTCTCTAATACTGAGGAACAGGACTGGAATGATATCCCTCTGGAGTTTGACAAAATCTAACTGAAATTAAAATATGGTTATCAACCAGCAATTCACCATCTTTACTTAAAGGAATAATAAGTCAGGTGTTAATAACATAAAGTAATAGTTTCCACTGTTCCTAATTTAACTGGACAAGTATTAGATACAGCTTATCTGTGCTGCCTTTTATTTTCAAATAACTACCTTCAAAAATTATTCAAAGAGTTCAAAGAAGAAAAAGTTGCAGAAAGAGTTCAATAAACAGACAAAAAAGAAAAAAAAACAGGGAAGAGCCAGTCAACTTAGCAACTTTAATTGTCTATGTGGATTATAACAGTGGATTTGTCTCAGTTAGAACTATCCAGTGCACTGGCCATAAAATACACAGAAAATTACTAGCGGTGTTGTTGTTGTTGTATATTAATTTCTGCTATACAGATAGACTCAGTTCTCTTCCCATACTTGTCTGGTATATGCCTGGCAAACAGAAGTCTCTCAAGAAATGTTAGTGAATGAATAAAAACAAGATTGCATAAATAATCTCCTTATTTATCATCAGGGCCAGGGCTATTGCTGAGTCCCCAATTTATACCCAAAGTTGATTCCTCTGAAACAATGACACTTAATGTAGACAGCCTCCCAGAGAAGAGGAGACAGCTCCTGTCTGTTATGTGACTGTAAGCCACTTGTCCAAACCAATTCTGCAGCAACAAGTGCCAAGTAGATTGGGAAAATGTACAGATGGCTGCCTGCATGCATCACTGAATTGGGCTGCCACCACGGCCCATTGTTTTATTTATTACTGACAAAGTAATTAACTGCCTGACTCCTTCTTTTTAAACTGGTCATCCTTAATGGACAGCTGCACTGGGGGGGTTGTACTAATCATGCCTTTGACAGGAGCGAGCTCCACAGCCCCACTGCAGCAACTAGAGCCCTTGTGAGGTCATCCCTTTGCTGCTGGACAGAAACCCATGCTTCACTCTCCCCAGGGTCTTTCAACAGGCTTCCTCACTCCCAGAAAGTACACAGCATTGTTTTTTTTTTTTTCTGAGAGCTTCTTTTTCTGAAGTATAATACAATGGTAAAAAGTCATTTTTTAGTTTGTTTTCCATGTAATAATTTACTTTTTGTTCAAGTAGTAATTTCTTAAATACAAACTGAAAAAATGCCTTTAATAATACTTGTGGAAGAAGATTGCAATAATCTCAGTAGATATTACCCAAATTATAAGGAAGCTAGAGGTCACGTGAAGGCATCAAAAGCTGTTTCAACTCACTTCTCTGTCCAGCAACCAAGTATTTATTTTTATTTCTATAGCATAAAGAATGATCTTTATTTTTTCTACAGTATAATGAACATTAGATGCTTGCAGAATATTTTACATCACAGAATGCTAAAGATAGTTTTATAGTGAGTAAGCCTAATATATCAAGCTCAGGCTCATTTGTTAGTAATACAATACCAGATTCACAGCATAGGCAAAATTCTTCCTAGGGGTCTCATGCTTGTCTTTTCTTACCTGTGAAATGAAAGTCATTGTTCTTTCCTGCCCATACTTCTTCCTGACCTAAGTGACTTCAATTCTGTTCTTTAAGATTTATTCTATAAAATCAGGGGACTGGACATAGAGAATCTCTAATAATCTGTGACTATCTGGATATTGAGGCAAATAAAAATTATAATGTATTACTCAAAATAATAAAAACTGTGAATATGCAATGTAAGGGGCATGTATTAATTACAAATACAAGTAAATCTTGATTTGTTTTTATTATTACAAATATCAGTGTCAGTGATTTGAGTTTGCTTATGAAAAAGTCTTTTATATATTCCTTTCTGTGCTTTGCTAATTTTCCATTCTGTATTCCAAGGCAGACCAACAGATTGCAACAAAATCGGGTTAAACATTGATCTTCCGCCCTGACATTGCATTAACTTTTGTAATAAACATCTTCACTGTGTCAACCAGCACTATGTTTACATATTGAACCCAGCAGCCAATTGTCTTACTTCTTTTAGGTGCTTTTGAATTCCAGAAGGAATCTTATCTGGAAGACTAGAATCATGCATCTGTCATGCCTTTCAATTTTGTATTTCAGATTAACTGCTCCTTTTCCTCCACGTTCTTAAGGTCTTCTAAGAAATTTCCTTCCCAATTCACTCGGTAAGTACCTGCTCAGGCTGTTATTCTATAATGAATTCGTGTCTTTTCTCCTATTTTTCCTGTGCCGCCCTTGTTATCTGGAGTCAGGATTCTGAGCTCTGACCTCCCTCCTTGTCATGTTGCCTGAGGAGAATTGCAGACAGACCCTCAGACCTCAAATATTCTAAATTTTGAAGACCCAGCTTTGGCTGAGAGGAGGCCAGCATTGGAGTACAAGTAAGCACTGATATATATATATATAATTTTTTTTTTTACTTACAGTCTCTGAAAATTAACTATTTCTGTTCAGGTTCAGGGACTGGCTGAAAGTATGAGCCAATAGGTGTGCCTATCCATTACTGATCAAATATTCTCTATTTTTGAATGTTATGAAGAATACACATTTAGGAATTGGTTTTCATATCTGCAGATAGGGTCCATGCCACTTGCTTCACTGAAGCAACACGTAGAAGCTGACTACCAAAGGAGAAGGCTGAGGAGAAATTGCTCCATGAGATAAGGCATTGCATTTATCCCTGAATGATTCTCTCTCTCCAAATGCACAGAAACATGTCATAAAGTGTGGGATTAGGGTCTCTAAAGGACATGTAATACCTCATTCCTGGAGATGTGGTCTAAAATGAAAGGGTCAAAATCTATGGTAAGTCACAAAATTTATTCCTAGAGTCTTATTTTAATAAATATGGAGAGATCTGCAAAAATTGTATGCCTGGGGAAAAAATCTCATTCAGACCAACTGACCCAGACCAATTAATGACAACTCAGAGTAGTAATAATGAAAAATTCATTAGACTAACTCCCATAATTTGCTAAAAGGGTATTTATACAAAACACTGTACTAAGTATATAACACAATATCTCATTGTGTGATCCCTATAATAGCTCTGTGAGGTACATGTCATTATTCCTATTTTTTGGACAGAAAAGTCTCTGATAAATAACTTGTCTAAAGTCACTTATTTACCACATTTACCAGAGTTATAACCCAAATTGGTCTGACTCTAAAAGCTCTTAGCCATTCAGTCCTATTGTAAAATAAGCACACCAGTGGAGAGCAATAGAGAATGGGAGTGCAGTCACGATGGGAGCCTGTCATTGGATCTTATGTATGCAGAGGTTCCTCCTTCCAGGAGAGCTTTGCCCTTGTCCTCATTAACTTTTACATCAATACATTCAATGCAGTGTATTGGATTTCTAGATTGGGAGCTAAAAAAAGAAAATATTTCTAAATATCAGCTATCTTATTTTACCAGTTTGCTTAAACAAGTTACAGAATATCTCTATTTATATTTTTTTTTTTTACCTAAAAATCGGAATACAACTACTCTTCAATAAGTGATTTTTAAAAATGATGATAAAATCAAAGGAATTTAGAATAATCCTTGCACATATTGGGCACTTAGAAAATTTTGCTTCCTTACTGACTCCCTTCTCCTTACATTTCAATTTTGCACAATGTCTCATGGCCTCTTCAGAGCAGAGACTGTGTAGTATTTACCTTCATATCTTCAGACCAAATGCTTAGCATATAGTCAGTGGACAATTACTGGAAATGATTTAGAGACATTGAGAATTACTTCCTTTGAAATTTTAAGAGGTATGGTAAAACTTTGGTTTCAGAATATATATTTATTGATTTTTCAAATATGTATTTTTCTTATATGTTATGGTCAACCTCTTGGGATCTTTAGAAAAGAAAATTTTCCAGTATTTTTTTTTTTTTTTTTTGAATCTCAGGCCAAGAGAATTAGAACACTCTGTAAAATTACATAGGTATATCTGATAAAGGCCATACTCTGTTTTTCCATATAAGTATCAAACTGATAAAGGCCATACTCTGTTTTTCCATATAAGTATAAAACTGTTGTATAAAAAATTACCTTCTGGCTAGGTGTGGTGGCTCATGCCTGTAATTTCAGCACTTTGGGAGGCCAAGGCATGCAGATCACTTGAGGCCAGGAGTTCAAGGCCAGCCTGGCCAACATGGCAAAACCCCCTCTCTACTAAAATACAAATATTAGCCAGGCCTGGTGGCGCGTGCCTGTAATCCTATCTACTGTGTAGGCTGAGGAGGGAGAATTGCTTGAAACCAGGAGGTGGAGGTTGAAGTGAGCCAAGATCATGCCACTGCACTCTAGCCTGGGCAACAGAGCAAGACTCTGTCTCAAAAATATAAATAAATAAATTACCTTCTAAAAATGTTATCCTCTTCACTCAAATATATACAGTAAAAGATGTCTGTCCAATAGTATAATATATTTTGTTTAGCAAAAATACATTAGTCAATTATTTATCTTAAATTTCCTTTTTCCTCCTCAGTCTAACATGTTTATTTTTATACTGGACTTTGGTCTATCCATTTCACATATGGCTTAACTATTTCCTATATAGATAGTTCAGTATCTGTTAGCTGCATAGCAACCTAATCCCAAAATGGTGTTTTAATATTTCCTCACCATCTCTGAGTTGTTTGGACTCAGCTGGACGGTTTTTCTGCTTCTTATGATGTCAGCAAGGGCTATAGTCATCTGAGGTCATGGGTGGCCTACAACATCCAAGATGGCTGCCTCCTATAACTGGCAACTGATGTAAGCTGTTGGTTGAGAGATGCTAACAAGCAGATCTCCTAAGTTTTCCTTGACATGACCTCTCCATGTGGCTGGTTTCTGAGAAGGAGTACCCAAAGGGTGAACGTTTGAAGGGAAGGAAGCAGAAGCTAAAAGTCTCTTAAGGCCTCCTTTCTGTGCATTCAGTTGCTCAAAGGCCATTGCAGATTCAAAGGAGGAGAAATAAACACTCCTGTTGACCTGATGTGCATTAAAGAGAAGAAATTGGTGGGTCATTTTTAAAGACTGATTATTAAATATAAATAGTCATCCTGTTATATTTTTTTGTAAATGATTTCCTTGTCCATTCTACTGCTATAAATTTTTCTTCTCTATGTAAGAATTTAAAATCCGTGGTTTCTTTCTATGTACTAATTTACACATAGTTGTGTTTATCATTTGATAAATGATATGTCTTTGATGAATATATTACATGATACTGAAAACCTGATGTACCATTAAACATATAAATAAATATTTCACATTTTAGAATTCTGAGCTCTAACTCCTTCTTTAACCTCTGCGTTAGAATTAGACAAAAGCATTCAGATTTAAAATATATTAAATGAGGCAGTGGGAGAGGTAGGTGGTGAAATAAAGTTTTTCATTAGTCTTATTTTTCTCTTTTTATTCATACATTTTGAGCTCTCAAAATAGCTGCAAAATGCTTTATTACATTGCTAATATATGCTTAATTTTAAAAAAATCCAAACTCTACCAAATTTAGCTAAATGAAATAATTATATATTATACTGATGTATAAGAGGTGGGGAGAAGGAGCACATTCTAAACTTCCTTGCTCTTTTCTAAATTTGTCTGTGAGAGAGCATCGATTAAGAGTCAGAATTTCTAACTCCAGTGTGGATGGACTTCACTGGAGTAACTATTAAACAAGATGCATTACAAGTGTTACCATGATAATCAGGTGAAGTTATTAAATAGAAAAGAACATATTTCTGTCTTTTGTAAGGAGAAATACATCATTTCCATGGAGAAATGAAGGAACTCTCTGAAGCCTGGAAACCCCTGGGAGGGGAGCACATGTATTATTCTAGATCAGAACTAAACATTCCAACATGGAGGATGACCTCATGTGGCCTCCCTGTCGAGAGGTATGTAAAAACAAATGTTATAACTATGAATTTGACATTAACCATGGGAAAATTTAAGACAAATGAAAGTTATACATTATTGATGAATCTCTTTGGGAAACTTGTTGAAGTTATATGTCATTTTTTCATTCACTAATCAGACAGTAAGGTTATTGGGTCATGAATGGTAGGTATACTTAGCAAACAGTATTCCTATTGTTTAAGTTCTTTTTGTGCCTTTTCTTGTTATTAGATAAATTATACCTGGGTATTCTTTAAATGGGAAGTTGTCTGCGCTCATGTAATTGAAGCAACATTACATCTGTTAATAGAGAGCAGAAGGTATAATCGGAATTTTGTTACAAGTGGAAAAGAAGGAAATTAATATTCTTTTTGTTTTTAGACATGCAACCTAGGTATTAAGTAAGACATTGTTGATGGTAAGTACACACTGCTTGACATTGATTTCTTCCTTGCTGCAAGGAGGTGGACCCAAGGTGAATTCAAAATGGAACACAGGAAATAAGAAGTAAATATAGTGAAAGGCAAGAATTTGATTTTATGAAACTCATCACTAAATGATGAAACTGATTACTCAACATGTGTTATTACTAGAGCTTTTTAGTAGAGATATGATACTATCGGTGTGAGCCAATATAAAATTGCATTGTAATAAAGAGCACTGGATCTGAAATGAGACTAGTTACTATCTCAGTGTTTGTTTGAATATCTTTAAGATAGGGGTAAAAACCGAATATGAAGTAAGGTACATGAGAAAAAATTGTCATGATATTTAGGAGTTTTATTAATAATTATATAAACATTAATGTTTCTGGGTAAGTTTCACAAAAGAGAAAATCTTGTAAGAAGCTAAAAGGGGTAAGGAAACCTTTCCTATAAAGGAACAAGGATGAGAACTATAGCAAAATTTCATCAGAAATCATGCAAGCGAGAAGAAATTAAAGTTAAATATTTGAATTGTTAAAAAAAAAACCCACCAACCTAAACTTCTGTATCCAGTAAAATTAACCTCCCAAAGTGAAAAAGAAAGAACTTTCTCAGACAAACAAAAACTGAGGTAATCTATTTTCAGTAGACTTCCACTACAACATGTTAAAAGACTTTCTGCAGGAGAAGGAAAGTGGTATAATATAGAATCTCAAATTTACGTAAACAAAGGAAGAAAATCACAGTAGTCCATAAAACAAATCTTAATAAATTTAAGACAATAGGGATTATATCAAATATCTTTTCTGAGCAAAATGGTATAAATCTAGAAATCAACAACCAAAAAATAAAAATAAATAAATAAATAAACCCCTCAGAAACTTTACAAATACATGGAAATTGAACAACATGGGTCTATGCAACCAATGGGTCAATAAAAATGTTAAAAGAAAGATTAAAATTTCTACTGAGACAAGAATGGAAGCAGATCATATCAAAACCTATGGGACACAGCAAAAGCAGTTCTAATACGGAAGTTTATAGCAAAAACATCTATATCAGAAAAAAATAAAGACTTCTAATAAACAACCTACCAATGCACCTCAAGGAACTAGAAAAACAAGAACAAACAAAACCCCAAACTGGTAGAAGAAAGGAAATAATAAAACTCAGAGCACAAATAAATGAAATAGAGACTTAAAACAATTTAAAAGAACAATGAAACAAAGATTAGGTTTTTTAAAAAGATAAACCAAATGTACGAACCATCAGATTAACTTGGAAAAAGGAGAGAAGACGCAAATAAAATAATTAAAAAGGAGACATTTCAACTGATACCATAGAAAAAACAAAGAATCATGAAATTATTATGAATGACTGTAAGTCAACAAATTTAATAACATATAAGAAATGGGTAAATTCCTCTACACATACAAGCTACCGAGATTAAATTATAAAGTAGAATATCTGAACAGATCAATGAGTGAGGAAATTGAAAGAGTAATAAAAAATCTCCATCAGAGAAGACCTTAGAACATGATTCCATCAAACTTTTAAAGAACTAATATGAATTATACCCAAACTATTCCAAAAAATAGGAAAGAATACTTCAAAATTCAATTTATGAACTCATCATTACCCTGATTCCGAAATTGAAATAGGGCACAACAGAAAAAAAATACCACAGACTCATATCCCTGATGCACAAAGATGCAAAAAATCTCATTAAAAAGATCATTTACTATGATGTAGTGGGATTCATCCCAGGGATGCAAGTTCATAAGTATAATCCACCACTTTAACAGACAAAAGAACATATAATGCAAAAAAGACAAAGAACATATAATAATTACAATAGATAAAACATTTGACAAAATTCAATATCCCTTCATGTTAAAAACTCTCAACAAACATCTATCTATGTCTAGATATAGAAAGTACGTATTAAACACCTCAACAAAATAAAGGCCACATATGCCAAACTCACAGCTAATATCATGCCTAATGAGGAAGAGCTGAACAAGTTTTCCTCTATGATCAGGAGGATCTTTTTCTGCTGTGATAAGCTAAAATTTCTATTATTTATTTAATTCTTCTCATGCATTTTACTCAGTACAGTTCAGTGATGAGAATGTTTATTCTATAGTGCTTGGAACATCTGGATAACTACATACATGAATTAAAGTCACAGAGCACTTAATACAAATTTTCCACAAAAATAGGACATTTAGTTTATTAAAATTTTACAGATAGGCATACAAGACTACAATAAATAACTGAAGTGAAGTTCTACAGTTTTTAAGAAGTCAGATGGGCTGGTCACATAGGCTCACGCCTGTAATCCCAGCACTTTGGGAGGTTGAGGCAGGTGGATTCCTTGAGCTCAGGAGTACAAGATGAGCCTGAGCAAATGGTGAAACCCTGTCTTTGCCAAAAATGCCAAAACAATTAGCTGGGCTTGGTGGCACACCTGTGGTACCAGCTACTCAGCAGGCTGAGGTAAGAGGATGATTTGAGCCCAGGGAGGCAGAGGTTGCAGTGAGCCGAGATCACGCCACTCTGTCCAGGCAAGTGACAGAGTGAGACCCCAGCTCAAAAAGAAAAAAAAAAGTCAGATGGTTATCTAACTCCAGGCTTTGTATATTCTGGTTCAGGGGTTATGGAGGAACATGGCCAATGTAAGAAACAACAGCAACTGTAAGCCCTTGGCAACACACTAAGAATATGGTTCCCCTTAATACGGAATCCATGGATACAGAAGCTGCAGCCAGCACACTTTATTTCTGTTAGTCATACTCTATATAATTGATTTGTAATCTTTTTGGGGACAGGATAACTGTGGAGAAATTTTAATAAAATGGACTGATCTACTGATAAGGAGAAGGTCAGCCTTATCCTCACAAGTAAGCCCCCACACACTGGTACTGCCAATTAACTGAGGAGAACCATGTCTCTATGCCAAGTATCCCCTGCTGAGTAATCCCTTCCCCTGCCCCAGCATCTGAGATGAGGATGTGGATATCAACTGAGCAGGACAAGGATGCCCACTTTCACTACTGCTGTTCAGCATAATACTGTAAGCCTTAGCCAGAGCAATTAGACGAAAGAAACAAAAAGAAGGCGTCCAAATTGCAAAGGAGGGTCCAAATTGTTCTTGTAAAATTCATATGAAACTACAAAGACCCTGAATAACCAAAACAGTCCTAAGCAAAAAGAACAAAGCTGGATGCATTACACTACCTGACTTCAAAATATACTACAAAGCTATAGTAAACAAAACAGCATGGTACTGTCATAAAAACAGACACATAGACTAATGGAACCAAATAGCCTGCCCAGAAATAAATTAACACATCCACAGCCAACTAATTTTCAACAAAGGTACCAAGAACATACATTGAGGGAAAGACAATCTCTTCAATAAATAAGTGTTGGGAAAATTGAATATCTACATGTGGAAGACCATGACTAGACCACTACCTCTCAACACATACAAAAATCAACTCAATATAAATTAGACTTAAATGTAAAACTAAAAACTATGAAACAACTAGGAGAAAATGTAGAGAGGAAGCTTTATGAAATTGGGCTGGGAAAGAGTTTTTTTTTTTTTAATAAGGCTGCAAAGTCACAGGCAACAAAAATAAAAATAGACAAATGGAATTAAATCAAACTCAAAAGCTTTTGTACAGCAAAGAAAACATTGACACAGTAAAGAGACAACCTACAGAAGGAAAGAAAATAGAAAAAAACTTTATGTCTGACAAGAGGTTAATATCCAGAATGTATGAAACTTAACTCAATAGAAATAGAAAAAATAATACAATAAAAAAATGGGCAAACTTTAATAGATATTTTTCAAAAGAAGACATGCAAATAGCCAACTGGTATATGAAAAATGCTCAGTGTCATTAACACAAAGTAAACCCACAACGAGATACCACCTTACTCCAGTTGGAATGGCTAATACCAAAAATATAAAAGAAATCAAGCATTGGCTAAAATGGTGAGAAAAGGAAACACTTACACACTCTTGGTGGGATTGTAAACTAGTACAGCCATAATGGAAAACAGTATGTAGGTTCCTCAATAAATTAAACACAGAATTACTATATGATTCAGAAATGCCACTACTACGTGTATATCCGAAGGAAAGGAAATCAGTATGTCAAAAAGATATTTGCACTCTTGTGCTTATTGCAGCACTAGTTACAATAGCCAACATATGGAATCAACTTAAAAGTTTAACAACAGATGAATGGATAAGGGAATTGTGAGATACACACACACACACACACACACACACACACACACACAATGGAATATTACTCAGCTGTGAAAAAGAATAAAATCCTGTCATTTGTGACAACAGGGATGAACCTGGAGAATATCATGTTGAGTGAAATAAGCCAGAGACTAAATGACAGATACTGTATAATCTCATTCATATGTGGAATCTTTTTTTAAAAACTTGATATAAAACCAGAGTAAAACAGTGGTTACTAGAGACTGGGAAAGGGAGGAGGAATAATAGAATGGTAAGAAGTTGATCAATTAGTACAAATTTTTAATTAAATAAAAAAATGAATTGGGTTGTTCTATTGTCAAATAGGATGACTATGGTTAATATTAAAATATTCCATATCACAAAACACTTAGAAAAGAGGCCTTTGAATATTCTCATCACAGAAAATGCATGAGATGATGGTTACACTAATTGCCCTGATTAGATCATGATACAACATAGATATATATCAAAACATCACATTGTACCCTGTAAATATATGCAATTGTAATATGTCAAAAATAAAAAATAAATTTTTAAAAACATTTAAAAAGTAAATAATAGCAACATTGTATTGGATAATTATATCATGAACAAGTGAAAGTAATGACAGCAATATTGTTACAAGGAATATATTTTAAATATAAACATTCAAATAAATTAAAAGTAAAAGGAAGAACAATTATATATCATGCTAACACTAATTAATGGAAAGTTGGAGTAGCTATATTAATTTCAGACAAAAGCAGATTTTAGAATAGGGAAAATTATCAGGGATAAACAGGAGCGCTACATAATGATAGAAAGGTCAATACTCTATGAAGACTTAACAATTTTTAACGTGTATGCACCTAACAATAGAGCATCAAAATACGAGAGAAAAATGGTTAAAACTATAAAAAGAAATGGACAAGTCCACTATTATAGCTAGAGATTTCAAAAGCCCTCTTTCAGTAGTTCATAGATTCAGCAGGCAGAAAATCAATAAGTATATAGTTGTCCTGAACAGCACTGTTGATCAGTTCCAACTAATTGATATTTAAAGAATAGTTCCTTAAACAAAAGCAGAACACACATTCTCTTCAAACTCACATGGAACATTCATTAAGATAGGCCACATTTTTGGCCATAAAATATACCTTAAATTTAAAGGGATAAAAATCATACGAAGTATGTCCTCAGATGACAATGAAATTAAAATATAAATCAATAACAAGTAAATTATCAAATATCTGGAGATTAAGCAATAACACTTCTAAATAACACATGGGTCAAAGAAGAAGTCTCAAAATGAATAAAATACATTTTGGACTAAGCAAAATAAAAAACACAAATTACAATTTGTGGGATGCAGTGAAAGTATTAAGAGGGAAATTTTTAGTTAAAACACTAAATACATATATCAGAAAAGAAAAACTATCTAAAATCAATAATATAAGCTTCCATTTTAAGAAGCTAGAAGAAGAATAGAAATTTAACCTAAGGCAAGCACAATAAAAGAAACCAATAAAAATTAAACAGAAATGATTAAAATTTGAAAATAGAAACAATAGACAAATTCAATACATTTAATATTTGATTATTTTAAAATAATTATAAAATTAAAAAATTCTAGCCATGTTAATCAAGAAAAAAATGAAAGAACATGCAATTTATCAGAAATAAAAGAGAGAGCATCCTTACTCGTCACAGGAACAATAATAGGATGACAAAGGAATGCTATGAACAATGCTATGCCCATGAATTTCCTTGAAAGACACAAACTATCAAAACCCACACAAGGGGAAACAATGTAAATATTTATATGTTTATTTAAAAACTTTAATAAATAATCTTTCAAA